CGCGCTATGTGAATAGGGACCGCCATCCCTATAAGCCTTGAGTTTACCGTCGAAGTTTATTTCAATTTGTTTAGATTTACACTGCCTATTTTACGTAGTACTTTTGAAAGTTCACTGTTAATTTTCATCAAATTTACAGAAATCCACTGTCAATTCTCACCATTTTTTTCAAAATTAACTGTCAATTTATTGAAGTTCGACTAATTTTAACTTTACTATATAGTTGCATAATTTATTTATTGTACAGTGACCAGTTCAATCTCAAATCATAAATTATTGAAATGTTGTCACTTGCCATAGCGAAACTCGGTCTATTCTAAGCTACATCGGTTAGATCTTTACCATTCATATACACACAAACACACACACACACCCATATTGGTGTGTGTAGATCAACAGTTAAAAAAATCAGCCGGTGTAGTCTTCATTGGATGTAGCATAGAAATAACCGCGAAGCTCAGTGATGTGGGGTTTAATTGTAAATTCTCATACTTCATCTTAAATAATTCATTAAAAAAATAAAACAGTTTATTTATTTATGGGGAAAATATAGTTTTTGTCCCTCAATTTTGCATCGATTTCACATTTGGTCCCCATGTTCCCAAAAAAAAATATTTGGTCCCTTGTGTTTCAAAGATTCAACAATTTTAGTCATTTCCGGCAATTTCCATTAACACTAATGGAATCAAGCGTGTACCATCACTGCCTTAACTAACGGACTAACGATAAATTAACGGAAATAACCAAAAAGTGTTAAATTATTGGAACATGAGGGACCAAATGTATTTTTTGTGAATATAGAGGACCAAATCTGAAATCGGTACAAACTTGAGGGGTGAAAACTGTAATTTCCAAATTTATTTATTATTATTCTTATAGTTTATTTTTTAAATTAGGTGACAAAGCAAGATTTGGCGGACACATATCAGCCACCTTTTAAGAGCTGTATCCAAGAAGGGAGAGCGAGCGGGATAATGTGCGCGTACAATCGAGTGAACGGTGTTCCGAATTGCGCCGACTACGACCTTCTTACGAAAACCGCGCGTGGAGAATGGGGTTTTCATGGGTAATTATCGGCATTTACTGAAATTAAATTATGTTCATTGCATGGATAATTGATTTTTGTTTCTTCTTCTTTTTATTTGGTTTGTATGATTGGGTTTCTATCAGGTACATTACGTCTGATTGTGATGCGGTGTCTATCATTCGTGATAATCACAAGTATGCAAGATTACCGGAAGATGCTGTTGCAGATGTACTCAAAGCTGGTATGGTTGTACGTCTGTCTCGTAATTTAGTAGGTCATCATTAAAAACAATCTGAACATTTTTAAAGCTAACTATAAGATAATTTAATAATTTTAGTGGTAATTTTTTAGGACGTCGAATGTCAATATAAAATTTATATATTTATCAATCATTTTGAACCTACAGAGTGAAATTAAAATACATCTTTCAGTCAACAAATTATATGTATTATTACAAAAATATATTTTACAAAAAAAAAAGGACAAAAAAGTCCTTTCGCTATTTTGTTATCAAATTATTTGAAAATTATATTTTATTCCGAAGATTTATATCAAAATATTTTCACCAATTTCGATAAAAGATCCATAAAACGAATAATTTAGTGATTTTTTTTTATCACTTTCTCTGTTTGTAAGAAATATAGTTTTTTTTAGTAATTCGTTGTGATTTTTATATTTTCACACTTTGTACGCCCAAAATTTTGGAGGTAGACGAAAATAACAATTTAATTCGTTATTTAACACCCGGAAGAAAAAAAAAAAAAAAAAAAAACCCCAACAAAATATGAAATTGTCTTCATCAAGTTTTAAATGCTCAACTTAGGGTGCATTGTGAATCATTCATTGTGTTTCGAGGGGGTGCGATTAATTTTTTTCAAAGGTGCAAAGTGGCGAAATGCTACATTTCAAGGGTGCAAAGTGGAATTAAGCCTTTTTTCATACTGATATACCAAATGCAGTTTGAACACTTTTTTCCCAAGTTCAATGTAATTTTTAGCTCAATAAACTTATTTGTTTTCCTAACTAACTTACATGTAGATGATATTAATTCAATAAATTTGCAGGCATGGACGTAAACTGCGGCACATACTTAAAGAACTACACGAAATCCGCAATCCAACAGAAAAAAGTGCGAGAATCCGATATCGACCGAGCCCTCCACAACCTATTCTCCGTCCGAATGAGATTAGGTTTATTCAACGGAAACCCGAACAAAAATATCTTCGGCCAAATCGGCCCAAACCAAGTCTGCACACAACAACACCAACAACTAGCTCTCGAAACCGCAAGAAACGGGATCGTCCTACTAAAAAACTCCGCTAATCTTCTCCCGTTTCCCAAAAAAACCGCTACCTTAGCCGTTATAGGACCCAATGCCAACAACGCCCACGCACTTCTCGGAAATTACGAAGGACCCCCTTGCAAATCTGTAGAAATCTTTAAAGCCCTCCAGGGGTACGCATCGAACGTGTTGTACCATAACGGATGCAACGACGTGGGTTGTACATTTGCTGATATCGGGAGTGCCGTGGGGACCGCGAAGAAGGCGGATTATGTGGTTTTGGTGATGGGGTTGGATCAAAGTCAGGAGAGGGAAGACCACGATCGTGTGGACCTGGTGCTGCCAGGTCAGCAGGAGGGATTAATCAGAGCCGTTGCTGCGGCTTCGAGGAAGCCTGTGGTTCTCGTGTTGGTTTGTGGTGGGCCGGTTGATGTTTCTTTTGCGAAGGGTGACCCGAAAATCGGGAGTATTTTGTGGGCTGGATATCCGGGTGAAGCTGGTGGGGTTGCACTTTCTGAAATCTTATTTGGTGAACATAATCCAGGTTAGTGTTATTTAATTTAAATTGCTACATTTGTTAAAAAAAATGAAAAATATGCCAACTTAATTATTGAAATTATTCTTAGATCTCAAGTTT